CCCATCCCTCCGATCATGTCCCCCACCCAGATCATGTCCCAATGCTATTTTTCTTTTACTTTGTTCCTGTAGCCAGATACAGCTGCTATGACATCATCACCTTGTGACATCATCACCAAGCTTAATACCTTGATATAAGCACACCCCCCAGAGCTGCATCTCCCAAGAGCCTTTTGCCTACACACAGTGTAGGGGGCTCTTTGGAGTGAAGGCAATAGGACTTATTTTCTGGGAAATAAATGTAATGTACCCATGTGGAAAGGGACAGCTAGAGATGGAAGCTAGTTCTGTAGTCCAGCAGGCAGGCTTGATAATGCTTGGGCAGCTTAGTTCCTATTGAAATAAGGACACCCCCCAGAACTGCATCTCCCAAGAGCCTTTTTTCCCTACACACACAGTGTAGGGGGCTCTTTTGGAGTGAAGGCAATAGTACTTATTTGAAATCAATGTACCCACGTGGGAAGGGACAGCTAGAGGTGGGGGATAGGCAATGTTCTGTAGTCCAGCAGGCAGGGTTGATCATGCTTGGGCAGCTGCTGGTAGCTTAGTTCCCATTGAAATAAGCACACCCCCAGAACTGCATCTCCCAAGAGCCTTTTCCTTACACACAGCGTGTTGACGGGCTCTTTGGAGTGACAGTATTAGTACTGATTTACTAGGAAGGAGATCAGTGTACCCACGTGGGAAGGGACAAGTAGAGATGGAGGATAGGCAAAGTTCTGTAGTCAAGCAGGCAGGGCTGACAATGGTACTGGCAGCTTAGTTCCTGTTGAGGTAAGCACACCCCCAGAATTGCATCTCCCAAGAGCCTTTTCCTTACACACTGTGTAATCATGCTCTTGGAAGTGAAGGTATTAGTATTGTTTTGCTGGAAACAAAATCAATGTAGTCCAGCAGGCAGGGCTGACAATGGTACATGGGCAGCTTCCGGGAGTTTCGTTTCTACTTAGGCATGCACACCCCCAGAACTGCATCTCCCAAGAGCACTTTCCCTACACAGGTTCTTGGGAGTGAAGGTATTAGTATTCTTTTGCTGGGAATTAAATCAGTGTACCCATGTGGGAAGGGAACGATAGAGATGGGGGATAGGCAAAGTTCTGTAGTCCAGCAGGAGGGGTGACAACAGTACTTTGGCTTAGTTTCTATTGGGGTAAGCACACCCCCAGAACTGCATCTCCCAAGCGCCTTTTTCCTACACAGTGTGTGAGCAGACTCTTGGGAGCAAAGGTGGTAGCATTGGTTTGCTGGGAAAGAAATCCATGTACCCATGTGGGAAGGGAGAGAGAGAGAACAAGAGATGGGGTAAAGGGGGATTTCTGCAGTCCAGGGGGCAGGCCTGACAATGCCACCTTGAATTTCATAGCAGCAGAGGCGCTGTGTTGTCAGCCTAGACTGGAAGTTAGCAGCTCCTAGGATCCCCTGCAGATCAATTGTGATTGTAGCATGTGTAAGGACCTGAGACATGGGAAAATTGGGGACATGTATTGCAGTGGTGTACTGAATGTATTTTTATTTTGCCCAGACATACACTTTAGGTCACCGGGGCACCTTCGGCATCCTAATCCCGGCCACCCATTGGTAGATCTGTTTTATAAAGCAAGTTCTATGATGGCCTCAGACAATTCCTCCGTGTTGTTGGCCTTTGTGGAACGTTTCCTATTAATGGAAGTCGGAATGTTTTGTACCAAGTGGGATTTGAATGGGCGGCTCGAAGTCAAAGAAATCAGCTCAGCTTAGAGGACTTATAAATGATTGGATCCCTCGATAGTCCACTCAGGAAATCCTGTGCTTGCTGATGAACGGGATTCAAAGAAAATAAGGCCCACCACTAATACAGAAGTATGGTGCCTCCAGACTAGGTCAGCTGGGTAACGGGAGGTAGGGAATCTTTCCTTATAATCCCTT